GGGAAGGGAAGGGAAGGGAAGGGAAGGGAAGGGAAGGGAAGGGAAGGGAAGGGAAGGGATCAACCTAAAGCATTTCTAAAGCATGTGATGTAACAGCTTTTAAGTACATGTCAAATAGCACAAAAGTACATGGACAAGTATTTGCTACTCAACAATTATCATCAGATCATCATCAGATGATCAATAAGACTTTTTTCTACCCTTGTGCTTTTCTTCAGACTCTTGATTTGTTTTTTCTCCAGGCATGTGGCATTCTGTCATTTGCCCCTGCTTTTCAACTCTAGATGTAGCAACTGTTTTTAATACATTATATTAACTGCAACTTTTGGAGAAAGTGAGTGGCTGGTAGACATCATCTAATGTAAGAAAGCGACTCTCTGTAAAGACTGAAAATCACCTTCCCCTTCATGTGAACTAAATTATGTTTTAACACAAACTCTAGGAAATAAGGACTATAAAATACCAATCAAGCCATTCTGAGTTCCTGTTAGCAAGGATGACAAATATGTCAGAGGTTCTCCAATCACAAGCTCTATCAGATAGATGAAAATGTGCATCACTCTTGCTGAGGACAGATTGTACTGACATATTCCTGAACTTGAATGATCAGGTATCTGATCCTATTTAAAGGAGTCATTTAATTCTTCTGTTTTAAAGGTTTTTAAACCTACCATATGGAAAAACATTTTGAAGAGAATGATTCTGGAGAGAGAAAGAGTTTGCTATTTTCTCTTTTTTGTTAAGCCACCATGCACTGTAACCACTATTTGCTGTTACACGTACAAAAGCCTATGGTTCTAAAATACTAGCTTCACCTTCTGTTTCAACAACAAAAAAAAAGGTCCGAAGTCAGGTCAAGCACAACTTGATTTCAGACTTGATAGCAGATTTGAATGGTTTAAACATTACAAGCTATACTTCAGAGCCCAAATAGGTATATTTAAACATGAATATAGACAAAAATTTGTGGTGAATACTGATAGCATGCTGCATTGCATTATGTCCGAAACAACCCACTCCCAAATGCCCAAATAAAAGTAAATGATTGTGCATTGCATGATGATACCATTGGGTGTGCAACTTTGGTTCATGCAAAGTCTTGTTTTATGGACACACTGCCGATAGGCCATATATTCCTGAAGATTCTGTATGTGTGAGCTTTTCAGCCATGTTCTTTCCATAACACCAAATGGATACTATGGTCTGGCATACTGGTGGCAAAAACCAAGCCCGTATCATTTTGGCCATTTAGTCCATTTAACCAAGACATTTCACCAGCCAAAAAGCTTGAACCTCTCTTTGACTTTCTATATTCTGGCAAAGGCCAGCGGCTTATCAGTTTTTCTGTCCTCAAGTCCATTATATACAGGTATCTGTTGTCAAACAGTAGAGCAAATATCTCTCCAAAGCCCAGCAATGACACATTTGAGAAGTCTGGAGGTTTGATAACCCTAGAAGACAAGAAAATGGTATTAGAATCTCCCTTAAAATTTAGTCATGAGCTTGAATTACTAAATTAAATCCTGTGTGTCTACAGAAAATGTGTCTAAACTCATCATTCTGAAATACTTTAGAAAGAACTGGATGCAAATCTTTCAAATTAAGCAACTGAACACTTAGCTACAATCAGGTCTGTGGTTTCAGTTCTGACTTTGTGCTTTCAGGACAGACCCATCTGAATATAAGTAAAGGCTAAGGTTTGAAAAGGATTATTCTGCAGAGCACAAGAAAAATATTTCCACATACAAACAAAAGAGCAAATCTACTTGTGTTTTACAGTAAATTTCCATATGGATTTCATGCCTCAATATCTTTACACTAAGAGGTAAATGCTGTTACTATTCTTTTGATCACTCTTCTAAAATGCAAAGTGAAGCATAGACATGCCTTGTTGTGATAAGCAGGTTAGATAAATCATCCTTGTCCTTAGAGTTCTGTTTTACTGATGTTTTATGTTAAATTAAGCATGGGGAGAAATTGAAGTATTTTTTAGTTCCCCAACACCTTTATGATGTCTTCCCTTAATAAGTAAAATTTGGAACAGAAACTGAAGACTTGAGTCTTCCACAACTGCCTGCATGTTTGATCATAGCATTACATAAAGCAAAGAACTGAGGCACAGAAATGTGTGGGGATGAAAATGTTCTCAACAGTAAGAGACCATCTTTTGTTTCGAAAGATGGGAGGGTAAACTAAGAGGTGAAATTACTCAGTTATTCTTACTGATACTTCTGAAGATCTTTCAAATATCCACAAATATTCAGGCTATTTGAATTAGAGTCTGCTAGCGGTTCTAAAATGCATTTTTTTCTTTAGTAAGTTACTGTCTTTGATGCCACCATTTCCTACTCATACAGCCTGATTCTTTCCTGTGGAAATTGAATGCCATCATGTTTATGTCATACTATATTAGGAACAGAGATAGTGATGACATAGACTCTCTAGCCTTAGCTGCAGAAGAGAGCACTTTTTGTTCTTCCAAATCTTTTTTTAATAGTCAGTTCTGAGAAGGTCCGAAAAGGTAAACCTCCAATTGGCCATCAAACCAACACATCACCATCATTGGACAGTCAAGAACAATACCCCTTGACAGTTGCTTGCAAGTAAACAACAAGGCAACAAACAACACCTGCAAAGGTTGTTTTCCTTCTCTAAGGACTGTTTGGACTCCTTCTTATGATTTCTCAGGCCAGAGTGAGAAAATTGTGTACTTGACTTTCCCATAGGCTCAAGATAGTGCCTGAAGCCTAAAAATCTCTTACTTGACCACTGTCAGTCCCCACATGTTTGGTCCCTTACTGCAGTCTGATAGATTTCACTATCATTCCACAGCATTAGCAGATCAATAGTGCTATAAGGAAAAATAGTCTTTTTAATTTCTTGTCCCATCAAAGGACTCCCAGAAATGCCTGCTTGGTTCTCTGTCCAGCAGTCCATGGTAACATTAGCTCTGGGTCACTACATTTTCACATTCACAACTACAGTTTTGCAGTCTGTGTAAGTCTATACTGAAACACTTCAGCTTACAGAATGAAAATATGGAAGACAATTAGCATGTGGCCAGAAACCAAAACAGCAGTGAAACGATTCATATTATCAGATGGCAAAATTAGAATTAAAACTGCTCAGTATGTGTAAAGCAAGATGTTTACAGAATTTTTATCAAGATTCTTTTGGTCTACATATAAAGTAAGTTACTGAAACTACTATGATCTACTTCTTACTCATTTAATGAAGACTGAATCCTAAACTGAATGGTTTACCTGAGAATATCATAGCTGGCAAAGTCCCACTGGTATAATCCTAGTGCTGAACTGCACACTATGTATTTACCATCAAAGTGCAGTCTGGGCTGTAGGGAGATGCTTCGGTCTTCAGAAACAGACAGTGTTCTTAAGCACTTGCAGTTTATTTCCCTTCCAATAGGCCAAATCTACAATTAAAACACAGTTTAAGGCCATAAAAAATTCACATTATAAACTGTTACATAAGTAGAGCAAGCCTTGCAGTCCCTTTTTAATAAAACAATAATAAATAGTAATAATAATAAAAAATAATAGGTAAATGCGTGCATAAGTTTTTTTCAGAAATATCTCTTTCAGGTAGGAACATCAATTCTTCAACTGACTTGTCTTACAGTATTGGTACAGCACGTGTTGTTTCTAGCCTAAAAAACCAGTGAAAATTTAAAATTTTAAAGAATGGGGGGGGGGGGGAAATCAACCATCCAATTGGGACAGAAATGTGTTTCAGTTACAAAGCACTTCTATAGCCACAAACTTACAGCACTCTCCCACCCCGAAGTCCCCAACAGTAACAGTATTTGCAGTTACCTGCCTCACTGTCAAGTTAGCACAATAAGCATGACCTGAAAGCACTGATTCTTTACATTACCATTCTTGTAGAGCTATCATTTAAAACCAAATGCTAAGGCACGCATTGAAAAATTAGTTTCCAATGAGTTTCATGTTCTGCACGCAGCCTCTAAAGCAGGAAATGTGGGGAAAAACTAAAGCCTTCTATTATTAGTAAACTGCAGCAAAATACTCAAGGTTTTTGTTTCTCAATGTACCAAAATAATATATGCATGATATATGGTACATACCTTGATTTCATACTTATCTGCACTTAGGAGAATATAATCCCCAGGACTATGCATAAGTGATTTGACTTTGCACTTCTGCAAAACGACCTGTAATTGAAGGATGGTAATGATTTATGTTGACGCTGTTAAATAAACAAATTTTCATTTGTATTTTTCACTTCACTGACCACCTGCATAGTGTACCCATGTATAAAGGCAGTACAAATAGTTTTGGCAACTGAAGGAAAACTACAGTTTACACTCCTCTTGCTCCTACTAGTGACAACTTACTGTATTAATAAGGAAACATACATATTTCACCTGTACAGTCACACCCCCCCACATTTCAAGTTCTGAAATAAACAGAAGAAAAATATTGTTTCATGCTCAGATTTTTGTTATCAAGCTCATTAGATTTTTTTACATAATTTTTAAAGCTGTATTCTTTCAGAACCAGTTTTTATTCAGGCTTTGAATCAAAAGGTTGCTTTCTAATATTATCCCAGCTGCTTTGGAATTGAAGTATCTTCAATGGTCTGAAAGGTTTAATTACAGCTTAAATATTTTTTCTGTTGAAATGTTTTTTGCAGTATTTTCAGATGTTTTTCAGATTCTAAACCTAGTTGCAGGGTTAGGAAATAAAAATTTAGAATGCTACAAATTTAGTGTAAATAAGTGTGTGAGATTAATTATAAATCAATATTCCCACCTTAGTGACCCATTCTGTGTGTCCAGTAAGGGTATTCAGGCACGTTCCTGTTGATAAGGCCCATACTTTCACAGTGAAGTCTGCAGAGCCACTGACCAGAATATCAAGTTCATCATTGTAATCCACACTAAAAACTTCAAGCAAAAATGGAACTAAATAAGGAATACCAGTCTCTAAGAATGCATTTTTCTGTGAGACACTAGTAGCCTCTGTATGAATTTAGTTGCTTCTCAATTCATATGCAACTATATCTTTAATTGTTCTTGAACTGTATACATGAATTGTTACTCTGGATGCCTAAATTTACATTGCAAAATTACTGGGGTTTTTTGCCTAAATTAAGAGCATGTATATATATCAGTGGTTCCTTTATGGCTGAATTATGACAAAGTGCAACTTAAGCTAGCTCCTATTTCCAGAGTTTTGTAAGACGATTCCACAGGATTAGTACATTTTATAAATACAAGGGAAAAAAACTAAGCTGAGCTGAGGATATTTCTAAGTACACAACAAAGAATTTAATAATGAGGGCAATACAAATACATATTCCCAGGTCCTATTTTACTCTTTGCTTTAAGCTCATGTCCAGTCTGGGAATAGAAAGAATGGCCATGATCATGTATGCCTTTGCTACCTAACATTTGCATTTCTTTGAGACTTGAAGCTACTGAAATAGCCATGGCATTTATTGTTACTTACATGCACTTGCAAAACACTACATGGCTAAGTTTTGGCATATTCAAGGACAAGTGTATATCTGTTCTGGTCATTTCCTCTGTCAAGAAGAACTGTGACTCAGGCGACAGAGAACAGAGGCTGAACAAACAGAAAAAGCAAGTGTGCAAAAGCTAACTTATATTTTGTTTGATGATGATGTACGTCACTTCACTGGTGAAATTACAATTTTTAAATTTTCACCTACCTGCACCAGTATGTCCTCTAAAATGCTGTGTCTTTGCCCCAGAGCTCCATTCCCAGCAGGCTACTGTGTTATCGAAAGATCCCGTTACAAGCTTTTGTTCATCAAACTTCACTGCAGCACAAGTGTGTGTCTGGATACCATATATGCACTGACCTGTGCTTACATCCCACAGTTTTGCAGACAAGTCATCTGATCCTAGAATATAAAAGAACAGGATAATTGGAAGATTGGTAGGTTCTAGCACTACCTCTGACTGACAGTGTCTACTGAAACAGAAGCATGGAAGCTTCACGTAATACATCACTCTCAGGTTTGCAGAACCACTGACCATACTGCAAGCTTTAGTTTCTTTCAGGAAGGAAAGGGGTCCACCAAATCTTGAAACCAGGCCCCATATCCTGCCACTTTCTTTTCTCTACCTGAAGGTCCTCTTTTAAAAACTGCTAGCTTTGGAGAGCAAAATAAAACCCTGTACTATTTACACCCACTTCTTCTCCTGGGGATTTCAGTACAAAAGCTGTCAGACAAGTTTTGACAATGCTGTTTTCTGTGTATAACATTCACTGTTGAGTAGGTAAGTGAAACACTGGCTCGATTCTAGTTGTTGGCTTCTAATAAGCATCCTAAATCTAGTTTTACAGCGCTTCATAAAGCACTTACATTAAGAACTGGAAGTGCTTACAGCCTTGTTTCCAGGAAGAAGATACAACTTTTTCTTCCACACTTTGGGAGACTGAAATTCTCTCACAACCCAAAGTCTTTTTATTTGAAAGCTATCATCTAAGAGGATAGCTAACATATCTGTACTTCTCAAATGGGCTTAATTATAGTAACAGCATGATCAAAATCACAGAGAAATCTGGATTGGAAGGGCCCTTAAAAATCATTTCATTCCAACCACCCTGCCATGGGCAGAAACAATGATGCCTGCTGTTACTATTTCTTTATCCAACAAAGACATCAGTCTCCTTGTGTTCTTATTAAAGTGACTAATGAGTTTATTAGTACACCAGGTGTTTCAGAAATTGAAAAAATAAGTAATTTTGAATCATCATCTATAGTCACACTATGAAAACAATCTGTCTGGTAAAAGAAAAGTATATTGTCTTTAATCTTGAGGGGGAAGAGAAAACAAAGAATTTTATGACTCCCAAGTTGTCTGTCCTTCCTACCTGTACACAGAAGTCCATCTTTATAGTAAAGTGCATATACTCTGGCACTGTGTCCAATTAAAGAGGATGTCTCAAAGGCTTCGTGGTCCTTCAGTTGCTTCATCCTTAAAATAGCTTTTAGGTAAACCTTCTTCCAATGTAGAGGATCCTGAACAGAGTCGTCTATCTGCCAACCCAAATTCTTACAAGCAGTCTGCCACACCTCTGTACAGGCACTTATAACCTTGTTCCACTGCTTAGAGACGAGGCAACATGTGAGTAAGGTCTGAGGATCAAGCCATTTTAACAGATAAAAACTAAGTTCCAATGGAAGAAGTTTGAGGAAGTCCCTCTTGAGGAGAATCTCTAGATTATTGGAGAGGTGCCTGAGCTGGACTGCTCCACTCAAGCTAATCAGGTGATCCAGAGTTTCATTTTTCTGCAAGTCCGTCAGAGAAAGAAATGCAATAGAAATGTTATCAAGCCATGCTTCAAAGTCCTTTTTCTCCATAAGGTTATGGAAAAATTTACCTGTGATACATCAAAATACTGTATTAGTTCCGTTCAGAAAATAAGGTATGAATCACATCTTTATTACTGGTACATAAGTATTCCAAATGGCATGTTAACACATAGATTTAAGTGACTAAACGCATTTTAAAATATCCTTTAGGTCAGGACTAAGCATTTGCATGCACCCTGAACTATCATTTGTCCTACAGCAGACTTACAAGTAAATTGCACATAGCTAGTGAATGTTAGCATTCATTATGAATGTTTATATATTTCTTGTTTTAGATTAACACTTTCAGATTCTGAGTCCAATAAGGTAGGGGTTAATTTAAGTTTTAAACCTATTACAACAAATAAACACAGTCTTAAGAGTTTACCCATGGATAATTCTGATAAAAGGAAAAAACCAAAGCACATAAGCAGTGATAAGCTAGTTACTAACATAATTTACTCATATCTTTGTCCTGAACTATGTTAAATACAAAGCAGGTAACTAGTTAGTTTTTAAAAAAAAACTATAAAAGAGATGTCTGACACACTGTGCTGGAGGATACGTTAGTTGTCTTTCTTTTTGGCCCATGTAAAGACCTGAGCTTGTGCATCAGTTTTGATGTGTCTGCACCACTTTGACCTAAATGCATAAAAAAGTCCTCTTTTGTTTTTTTTTTTCCTTTCCTATTTTCTCAGTTTATTTCCACTGAGACTTAACTGTGAAATTGAATACCACCTCCTGAACTACATCCTGTATGCACCAATACTATCCTATGACATCTCAAGTTCCTCCAGAGCTCTGGGACTACTGATTAACAACATAGACATCTAACAAATGTTTATCAAATTTAAGAAACATTTAAAATTTACAACAGTTAAACGATGTAACAGTTAAAATAAAACAAAATTTAACAAACAGTTAAAAAATAATATTTATTTATTTTCTCTGGAAAGTCTAATTCATTAGACGACTGTCTTAATTTCACAGCACTCCCAAACTTTAAGAATTGAGGTACCTGAGTGAGACTCAATAGTATGTTTAGTTCCATACAGACATTTTACCATTGTAGAATAAGATCTCAGAGTACACCTCTTAAGAGTACATAGGAGTACAAAAAAGTACAGTCGTCTCTGTAAAAGGCTGCATATAGCATGCAATTGTTGGTAAAACACACAAGAAGATTCTGGATGTCAAATGCACAAAAGCAGCTGCTCCTGTTAAGTCACAAGTTCATTACAGTAGCTTTTACTGGAGACAGCACTTACCAGCTTTCCTCAGCACATACGGCAGTGAATACAGTTGCTGTTCAAACAGGCATGTGTTCTCTTTAAAATAAGTGAAAAATTCTAATAGGGCGGCTACGAATAAGAACTCCGTAAGCCCCAAGGCGTTTGTTGTGTTCAATACGTGAAACTAATACTGAAATTAGGGGCTGCTGTGAGGCTGCTGAAACCGATGCTCGAGCCTCTTTTCCAGGTGTTACGCAGCCAGCCCCATCCGCTCCCCCCGCCCGCTCCCAATATACCTCCACACGCAAAAAGCACAGCGAGGACCGCAGACTCAGCGCCGCTGCTGCCGACAGTTCCGCGTCGCTCACCTCAGGTAGCAGCCCGGCGCGGGGTGTCCGTCGGCGGGCAGTCGCCAAGGCTTGCGCGGACTCCCGGAGCCCAGCATGGCAGGGTGCTTCCCTGCGGCCATCGCTCCCACCGCAGGACCGGCTCTCAGCACTTCCGCAGCCCGCACCACAATCTGCGGGCACCCGCGACAGAAGGGTCACCTTCAAGACGAGACTAGGCCACTCGACCACCCGGTACTGAAGGGAGGGGAGGGCTGGGCCGAGCCCACGCCGGGCGAACCGCCGGCACTGGAGAGAAGGCGCTCCCCCACCCGACGCTCTTAGGATTAGGCGGCTTCCGGCGCATCCGAACGTCATCAGTCCCCGCCGCCCTGCTCCCGCCGCCCGGCGCTGCCCCGAGAGGCGGCCCCGTGGAGGAGAGGAGAGGCGGCCCCGTGGAGAGGTGCGTGGACGTTTCCCCTCAGGCGAGACATGGCTTCTGAGGAATCTAGGTACCTGCTGGTTCACGCCGCTTCCGACTCATACCCGAGGTTTTAGCAAGTTCTGTTTGTTAAGAATATTCTTGTAATTATTATGATGAAAAATGCACTAGCGTTTATCATACTGACTTAAAATCACGTGTTCTCTCTCCTTCTGGAAGAGGTACGGTGTTAGTAAAATCACGCACAAATCTAACGTGAAAACCGCATCCCCTTTACTTGATTAATTTACACATAATTTACTTTTTCCTACTTAACTTGCATTTATTCTCTTCACCTTGTAATTGCAGGGTTTGCCTTTGTCTGGGGTCCAGCTCCATGGTTGCTGATACCTGAAGTCTCCTTACTTAAAGAGAGAGGCATAGTGAACCCTGCTTGTGTGTTAACGAACTGGGTTATGGTCTTCTTAGGAACCCATCGAATTTCAGGATGTTATAGTAAGCACCATTAATTACTCTTTATTTCTTCAGTTCCTGTGTTTTTTTTAACCTGGTGTACTGACTGTAATGGCCACATGAAAATATTAATTGTATTGGGGCCAGTATCTTTTTCTAAGATGTAAAATAAAACCCAATTTTATAAATAAATAAATATAATTTCCTTGCTGCACTCTACCTTTTCCTTATGGTGTACGTTACAGTGAAGAAGTGCACAATGCAGCCTGGGTAATGTTAGTTTCAGACTGCAGTGCTTGATGTTTGTGTGGCTGTTTTTTCTGGGATGCCTGACCCCAGAATTAAGTCTTAATCCCAAATGGAGATGAATTTTTGGCTTTCATGGATTTAAGGTTTTTTTCCTATTGTCAGGTGGCTAGGAATACATTTAAATCACAAGAAAGGTTGTAGCTCTTACAAGAGAATATCTTTGATACTTCAGAAAAGATGATTGGTTTTTCAAAAGGAATTGCAAGGTCTTGGAGACAGTAAGAATACACTTTACCAGAAAGGGAGAAAAACTGTTTTGTAGTGTTAGTTTACAGAGTAAAGATCTCCAACTGAAGCAGGTCTCTGAAAGTCTAAAAGATGCCTGGAAATGCAAACCAATGCTAGATTATGGCTTTTGTCAAAAATGGGTAAAGCTTAAGACACAAACAGCAATCTCATAGTTATGATACAGCACTTCAGAAAATTCAAATGGAAAAAGCAGTCCTCTGTGCTACATCTACATCCTGTCTTTTTGATTTCTTGTCTTTTTACTTTCCAAATTTCAATGTCATTAGTCCTGTGTGTGTGAAAGAAACGGTTGGGTCAAATTTATAGTTTATTACAGATGAAGGAATAACTCATGTTTCCTCTTCACAAATGTGATAAATAGCACTTAAAACAGTTTCAGATGTGATAGGACTGTTTCTGCTTGCATGTTATATCTAAAATACAAACCATACGTGCTATCATATGACATAAAAAATAATGGTAATACACCAGCATTTAATCTGATTACCATCACCAGTGATTAAGTCTTTGATCACAAATGTAGCAACAGTCTTAACAATATGCCGTTATTAAATTACAAAGCAGTCTGCTACCATTCAAAGACAATTAAACTGACATTCCAGATTGGTAACACTCCGCATAAATCTTTAAATAACATTTTCCATTCAACCAGGTAAATACATAATAGAGCTATAAATAAATTTGCAGAAAATTATCTCCATTTTCTCTTCAAGCCACGTGCTAGTACCACAATTTCCACCAGCAAATAGGAGTCAGTTACAGTCAGCAACAAAGTGAAGCAGCTAAGCAGTATACAGGCTGGTGAAGTTGCTGTGCTCAACTAAGACAAGTAAAAATACTTTCTAACCTGCATGCAAGTACAGCTGTTCACTGCATAATCTCTTGAGCCATCCCATATTGTTAATATTAGGTTCCCAGGGTATAATTTAGTCCTTCACAAAACCAGATTAAGCCTGAGAAAACAGTGCTTTAACAGAATAAGCAAGCACTGTGCATATGAACCATGATATTGAATTGTTAACGAGAACAGTGTGATACTCATTGCCATACACAGAAGGCAACAGAAATTATTCTGCAATACCTTATCACTTGCTGATGGGATTTTTCCTTCCCCTGCCTTTTGTGATCCCATTACTTTAAGTTCATTTATATATAACTCAGGATTTTTAATCCCTGAAAATTTATGGTAGAAATTACAAATATATATACCTATATATGTATATATATTGAAAACCAAATCCATATGAAAAGGGCTATATATTTCAAATGCAGACTTAAGTTAACGGCTCTGGAAAAGCCACTACATCTGCAAGTACAAGTTACAGACCCACATTTTTATGAAAACATTTGAGCTAGCCATTACTGGTTAAATATACATAGTATGGCAGAAAATATATGTCAGGAGTAGCAACCTTAACCATATGTAATTAGTTAGGCAATAATGTTACTCAATCCCTGCCCTCTTAAGCACTGTTTAAATATTAATTCAGTTGACTGTCACAGTACTAAAAAAATCCAATTGGAATCTATCAATTACAAGTACTTGCACATTTACAGAAATAATCACATGAAGGCAGAGAACAAACCTGTTATTCATTCCAGGTGTGTACCTGTGTGTATGTTATGCATTGAAAAACAAAAGCAAACAAAAATAAACAGAACCCCCAGCCAACCAAATCCCTCCTCCAAAACCTGAAAAAAAAAAATCCCAACCAACAAAATCCCTCCCATGCCGCCAGCCTCAAGAAACCACACCAACCAAAACAAACAAGAATCCATGCCACACCCCCAAACCAGTAAAGGACTATAACTAGAACAGGCCTTCTTTACAAAACAGGAAACTGAATGTATGTGTGCATTCACTGAACCTAGAGAGCAGTTCTCTTGCTACCATGAATAGCCATAGCGCTTTCAAATTGCATGTGAGTCTTTATTTCTTATTGGAAGGAAGTACTTTGTTACTTTCAAACACATATAAAATATGTAAGTGTACTGCATTGTCACTAGGATAAGAAACTGGACAAAAATGACTCTTAGCCTGTACTAGTTTCTAAAGCCCAAACTGAGCTTTAGGGAGCTTGGGAACGGTTCATCAAAGCCTTAGCCTTAAGGGCTCCATATTGTGTGTGTGTGAGTATGTGAAAGAATTAACTTAGCTCATGTGGGGTTCTTGAGTCTAGTCACACTTCAGAGTTGTGGTGATGGTTTATATGCATGCTGTAATTCAAATGCAGGACAAAGATGAGTAGCTCAAAATGTTTCATACCCATTTTGAAATGGTGGTGCATGGGTGTGTGTATTGGACTAGATGATAACACAATGCTCCCCTCTACCCTCAACTATTTTGTGATTTCATGCATCATTATCTATGCTGGTGAGAATGCACAAGTACAATCTAAATTAAGTGCCTGTACAGTCTAATGGTTGCACCATGGTAAATGACAGTGGTGACACATACTATTTAGACAGAAGGAGTTAAGAGGCCTACCACTGCCAACAAATCCAGTACATTAGGATAGAAAGTATTTATTGCAGAAACTTAGCCAAGAGTCTAGAACAGGCCTTCAGTTAAACTTAGCTTGATAGCAAGTGTTCAATCTGGTAACAATTCTTCCTTCACAGAAACAATTCCTTCCATCCATCTGTAGCAATATTTTTCAGTTTTCCTATTAAAACAATACCCATCTTACTAGTTGTAGATTCAAAGGTTATCTTTTCTCCTAACCATGAGCTGGTCAGCCAGCATCAAGAATGCAGCCTACAGGCAGCTTTAACATCCAGTGTGAAAGGAGAAAGGGTTCTGCCTACAGTGGACACAGCTACAATTTGTGCCTAAGACTACTTTTTAAGTTTTAGAGAGTATATGCATGCACATGCTGGAAAAACAGAGGGAAAACAACATGGTTCCAAGTCCGGAGAGAACAACACTATAGCAATCCCAGCAGCCTTCTGAGAAGCCTTGTCATCTTACACCAGTCTTAAGGAGAGGTTCTTCAGATGCGTAAGAACTTTGCCTTTTATAAATGATGCACAAGAGCTTATGTATCAGTATCACCAATGGTCTCTAGATTTTAATTAGCAGTCTGAATGGTAAGGATGATCTTTTGAGAGAAACAATGGCTAGAAGCTAGTTCTCACATGAAAAGACACAGAAATCATGGTGGTCTAATCAGACTATTAAAAACTCAGTGAAGCCATATCCTTGTACAATAGAGGTTTCTCCTGTTACACCAGCAGTTTCGCATGATTGTGTTGGTATTTGTTCTTTTGATACAGTGTGATAAAGATCTTTGCAGAATTTGGTTCCTGTGGCTTGTGTCAAATAAAATTGGAATATTATTTCCATTTTCTCTACCTTCTACCTATATTCTGGGCTGCACTCATACAGTAAGTAGGTAGTAAACTACATATACATGACTTTAAAGCCTCAGCTACCATCTCTAAGTGTATAACTCAAACTAGATGTTGTATTCCTCTGTAGTTCTTTTGCCACATTAGGTATTATCTTTCTACAACACTCTTGATTAAGTAAAGAAGCAAAAACTCAAGAAGTCAAAGCCTTGTTAAGGGACTTACTGGAAACATTAAGAATTAAGACATTAATTTTTTTCCATATTTCAGCTCCTTCCTGTCCTATATGAGTAATGGTCTGTTAAGGTCTGGCTGTCCCTAGTGTGACCTGCTTAACAGCTTTTACCTGACCCGTTAAGTCTAGCTATAGCATAAAAGCAGGTGGGAGGTGGGTGGGATGCAGTTGCTGGGTTTCTCTCTTCAAATGATACCAACATCCTGTTCCAGGTATGTACCACAAAGCCAGTAAGATCTGGTTTTGTCTAGTTTCAGTAATCCAGTTTCTGTACTCCTTATAGTTAATTTGCTAGATGTCATCATTGCTGTAACTACAGGCACACCTTCAAAGGTTCTTTCTCTCTCCCCACTCCCCTCCATTCCACCCCCCAACAGTCTCTTATTTCATGGTAATACTTTACAGCCACTGCTTCACTTATGATTCAAGAAAATAACTCCTGCTTTATAGCCCTTTCTTCAATAATCATGTTTATGATATAATGCAAATGCTGTATCTATATGCATTCCGACTACCATCATAGCCAGTAATCAAGCTTTCTGTCAAGCTCATTCTTGCTCTCCCTAGCGCTCCATCTCTAAGGCTAGTCTTTCAGGATACCTAAGTATGTATTTGCTCAGGTTCTTCAAAACAAGTTTTAAAATCTCCATATATTGCTTCAACTGTTATCAAACAATGGTTAATCATTTTAAATCATGCTATAACAGCACAGGTGAACATCTGCAGTATATTTAAAATCCAAAATTCTAACAGGATAAAGCAAATTAAAAGTTAAAATTTTAACTGAAGCCCCAGTTAAACACGCTGGTACAATCTTCAAAAATAGCCACAAACCAGAAATCAAGTACTACATTGAGAAAGCTGTTCATAGAAAAAGCTGGTTCTTTTCCTTTCTAAAAATAAGTGCCAGCAGTGACCCTAGAAGTAGATTCAGTGGATTCAGAAGTGTTTACAACTTCCTGGAAAATAAGTACCACATGATACTTTCTTATTGATTATTTTTTTAAACCTTAACTGTCTAAATAAATACGGATAGGGTAAAATAGCACAATCACTGGAAACAACATTCTCAAAAAATAATTACAAGTTTTTGCAAAGACTTGAATCTGGTACTTCCTTTTAGATGCTTATTAAGGTTCACCCCAAACATCTATGAGTGCAAAACCCACTAAAGTAATAATAGCCTGCTGCTCCTAGACTAATTACTGTTGAAAATATTGCTTGTTGTGTTGATTAGCCACCCCAGTTGAGTGTAAGAAATTATGCTTCCAGGTAAGACCTTGCATATTTTCAAGTGAAGCAATTCAGCCATTATATACAATAAACTAAGAAAAAAATCACTTTGCAAAACCAGTTTTACATTCAGACTGACGGCAGCAAAAGGCACACATCTGCAAAATGATCATACTTGAACAAAAGTGAAATCATGACATACAAGTGGTATTATGAAATAAAATCAAGCATACAGAAGTATTTCTGCAGATGGAACAAGAAACACTTGTTAGTAAAGCTAAAAATGTCCTATATACAAAGGCTTTCATGAAAAAACACCAAAACCAAACAAAATCTTAGCAAAGGTGTTCTACAGGAAAGGGTAAAAAAAAAATCAAACCTTAAATATAAATCCCTGTCCTTTAACACTAAGAGACAAGATGACTATTTCATCATAGAAGACTAGCTTATTAGCAGTGAAATTTGAGTCTGCATCCAATTACAAAAATACAACTATCTGAAATAGTGACTTATACTGTTGGTGCAAGTGCAGACAACAGCTAATGATGATGTCTGCATAAGAATCTTTTTGTAGTCAAAGACAATTAGGTTTAGCTCTTCTGCCTGTAATGGAAAAATCTGCAGATGCACTACAGTAAGAATTTTTCAGCAGATGGACTGGGGTTTTTGTTTTGGCATTTTTTGTTTGTTTGTGGGTTTTTTATTTTTTTTTTAATTTCCAATTTTCGAGAAACATTCTGAAAGTTTGTGTTTCCTATAGAAAGTTTCTCTGCTCATGGATTCTTTATGCCAGAAGAGTTTTCTAAAGGTTCAGAAGGTTCTCTAAAAATGAGCAAAGGAAACACCATCTTCATATCTCACCTGATTCTTCAGTAAACATACCACAGATGCATCAGTTTAGGGACTGACTGCACTGCTTAAAATAAACTCACTTGCAAGCCTTTTGTTGTTGTTGTTTTCTTTTGTTTTTTAAAGACCAAAAGAATTAAAGTAGTGATCTATGTTATAAAATTCCTCTTCCAACATGACATACACTGTTGTAAAATAACTCATGAATAGTAATTACAGCAATTAACTTTGCTGCGTGTCATTTAGGTAAATCAAATTAATAAGCAGCTTAGAACAAGTAATACTTTTTGTTTACTTCAGTTTCAGCCTAAATTTCTCATTGATTACCTATTGTTAGAATGCCACGAAAAGTAATGCTTCATTAACTGAGAAAACATACCTATGTCAAAGATAAAAGCATCACCAAATCAGGCTGTGCTAACCAGAACAAGGGTTCTATAAGGATATATCACCAGTACTTCCAGCCACATTTTACCACCAGAAGCAGTGTTTGTGACATTGCCATAGAGCTTACAGAGTTGTAAGAAAATGTATAGTAAGGGAGGTTTTAAAAGTGTCTTCATTTTAAGTCAATGATGTCTTCATCATATAAAGAAATCAGCTGAAATGGATAGTTAGGTGGTGAGCTCTCCTCCCTGTTTGCTAAAGTATCAGGATCTGAACTAGTGGAAAGATGACGTCTTTCAGAATAGCCTTCAAACGAGCTTGAGATTATCCTGCAAAGAGGAAGACAAAAGTTACTAAAAAAAAAATACACAGATCAGGGCAGGAAGGAGAAATGGCTACTTCTAGATTCAATCAAGTTATCCTAAAGACAGACACAGACATTACAACTGAGTTTCTTCCTGTTTTACTCTACAAAAAATAATCAAAAGGCAGTATTAATGAAGCCCCTCACCCAAATAATTTCCAAATAGGGAAATATCAAACATAGTTTTACACTGCAAGAGTTTAGTTTTGCTTTGTTACTCTCAGTCTCCTGCATCTTGCAGGTATTCTGTATTCTGCCAGTATTCTGTGTAAACATAGGTTATGGAA